GGTTGTTTTTGTTTTTGTTTTTTGTTACCGTTTTCCTTGTATGTTCTGTCTGTTTTGGTGGTGTGTGTGGGTTTTTTTCCTGTAAGGGAGTGGGGTGGCTATTTTATTTACTTCCTTATGGTATGCTGGACAGGAAAGAAGGAGCAAGCCACACCAGAACACCCATTAACCACCCGCCTGAGACATTGGGTAGGTCCAAACAACGGGGTTGTAGTTTACGGTTGAGTCAAAGCTATACCGGCGACATTTCACCGGGAAACAGAGATCAGGATACCAATATACCTAAACATCCATCAACCGCCAGGGCTGACAGGAAACGACGTGGTGACGCGCAGCGGTACAGATTTAGAGGCGTCCTACACGACCACAAGACACGAGAACATTTATAATTCGGAACCTGGGAAGCCATCACACGGTAACCCGTGACAGTACACCCAAATTCTCTGCTGAACACTACATAATGATGGGCGGCCTCGGCCCAGCTGCCTCACGGCGCCAAATTCTCAAGTAGACGAAGTCTTTCTTTTCTTTATCATCCCTATCATAATGGATTGACGGCAGTAATAACAGCCCAGCTGAAGAGTTGTGGTACCTGTTGTAAAACGCATAGAGCATGCTGTATAGCATGGATATATGCTATATAGATGCAGTTAGTATTATTATTGTTATTGCTATAGTTATTGTTATTGTTACTGTTTTGTTATTGTTGCTATTGCTGCTGTTGTAGTTATTATATTGTTATTATTAAATTGTTATTATCATTATTAACTGCAGTGAGCTGTTCTCAAAACTCAACTCCGATCGTACTCATGACGGGGGTATGTGTACAAAGCACAGAGCAGTCGCTCCCTTGCATCATCATCATCCCCATCATCATCATACCCACAGTCTGAAGATTCCCCCAGCGCTAGACACACTCCTACGGCATACACACACAAAGACGGTGTTTGTTCAGGCCAGGACAAACCCAGGCTCAGATAGATGGGTGAGCGTGAGTCACAGACGACGCCACTCGTGCAGCCACCACCGCCGTCCTGCTAAATGTATGCACATGCCCTCTATTACGGCTCCTCCTCACTCGTAATACACACTGCTCCTCCTGCATACTTTAGTCAGGCAATGAGCACAGCAAGCCCCCACCCACCAGTTTTTATCACATGCTTTGTTTTCAGAAGCATTTTCATTATATATATA